AAGGTATAGATAGGGGCTCTGTGGCAAGTGATGCTCTGTCTTCTTGGTGCTTGGAGTGTGTGTCAACAGTGGGAGGGCTTCTAATGTCCTGGCCCCACTGGTGGACCTCCTGATGGCACTGGTATTTCTGGCCACTGTGTGACACAGAGTGTTGGACTGGATGGGCCTTTGGCCTGATCCAACATTGGTGTCTCTTATGTTCTTAAGTTTTATGTGAGGGTATCTCACTGCCTCCCACGAGGCGCATAATGTCACTTGTGATGCAGGCACTCTGTAAGAACAAACAAACGCGTGATCACCCACAGTCATACAAATGTAGTGCCCATGCAACTGAACGTTGAAGTGGGACACTTGGCTCATAAATGGTACTATGTGCATGGTGTGGGCGGGGAATGCCAGGCACTTCTCCAACACACAAGCTGGGTCTTAACTATGTATTTCATGGCAGTGCTTATGTGGGGGTATCTCACTGCCTCCCACGAGGCGCATAATGTCACTTGTGATGCAGGCACTCTGTAAGAACAAACAAACCACATGCACGCGTGATCTCCCACAGTCATACAAATGTAGTGCCCCATGCAACTGAACATTGAAGTGGGACACTTGGCTCATAAGTGGTACTATGTGCATGGTGTGGGCGAGGAATGCCAGGCACTTCTCCAACACACAGGCTGAGTCTTAACTATGTATTTCATGGCAGTGCTGTGTGATTTAGGAGAGTGCCGTGGAGCCAAAGAACTGTGTATGATATTGTCAGGCCCCCAGCTCAAACACTCCCCACACACACTATAGGCAGTGAAATGCTGTATTAGAGATATGCTTGCTGTAGGTACAAGAACTTTTGTTAGGACTGGAGAAAACCATGGGAAACCACAGGTTATAGGTAAAAGCATAAAATTCCACACATTCATACGTCACCCCCACCCCCAGCGTGTGAGCTAGCTCACACTAACTCAGCTTAGAGGGAACACTGCTCCCCACACACACTATAGGCAGTGAAATGCTGTATTAGAGATATGCTTGCTGTAGGTACAAGAACTTTTGTTAGGACTGGAGGAAACCACGGGAAACCACAGGTTATAGGTAAAAGCATAAAATTCCACACATTCATACGTCACCCCCACCCCCAGCGTTTCTATGGCAACATGGACAGATATATGGTGCCCTATCTAACCTAGCCAGGTGAAGAGAGTCTCCAAGGTCGATCTCATGAGAACCAACTCTTGGGGCACACTTTGAGAAACGGTTATGGCTGCTACCCCCATGCACTCATACAACACACTGACCCCTCAGCTGCTACCCCCTGCACTCATACAACACACTGACCCCTCAGGGATTCAAAATGACAAGGGAAGGGAAGGGAAAGCAAAACTTAAGGAAACGAAAGTTAGGCCTGAGCTTGACAGATATTCCACATGCACAAGTTGACTTCCCTACTTTATTCCCCACTGCAAACCCCTTGCAACACCCAGCCGCTGATCTGAACAAATGGGGGACATTTCAGAACATCACGTAATGCAGGACAGGGGAGAAATTGGCAACATTGCCCTGCCTGGCAGTTCTGGCTTCCCCTGTGCCCAAGCAGAAGCAGCTTCTGCTCATGGGAGAGCCATTTTGTGTTCAAGCCAATGCTAGGCCAACACTACTCTCTGCACCACAGTGATTGTATCCTTTCCGTCTTTTTCACATGCGCAAGGCATTTCTTGCGGTTCATTTTCAAAAACCATTGAAATCCTGCAAACCACCTGTTGTGCATATCCATTGCTCCATATGCACATTCCTATTTTGTTAACAATTATATATTGAAAATATGAGAGCCAGTTTGGTGTAGTGGTTAAGTGCGCAGACTCTAATCTGGGAGAACCGGGTTTGATTCCCCACTCCTCCACTTGCAGCTGCTGGATGACCTTGGGCAAGCCATAGTTTTGTCAGAGCTGTCCTTGAAAGGGCAGTTCTGGAGAGAGCTCTCTCAGCCCCACCTACCTCCCAGGGTGTCTGTTGTGGGGAGGGGAAGGGAAAGGAGATTGTAAGCCATTTTGAGACTCCGAGTGAAGGGCGGGGTATAAATCCAATCTTCTCTTCTATGTTGAAGTGCTACACGTTGTTGCAGCCCGGGCACAAGTGGAACTGTGCTGAATACTTTTTCCTTTCCACGCACGCCTGGCTGGATTCAAGCCACGGCTTTCAACACAGCTTATCGAGTCCCTCAAACAATGGAACCCGCTCGTAATACAAAAATAAACTAGGGAAGCAGATGCTGTTTCCATGTCTTTGCGTCCGTCCTCAGGGTTTTCCTGCCACGGCTGCTCTGACTGCTGTTCTTCCTTTGGGTCATGACAAATATGGGTTGAAAAGTCATCTCTTTCTCCCCCATCCCCCCTTGCCAGAATAGGCTGCAAATTTAAAATTCAGAAACCAACTGTTATCAGTTGGAAGAGACAATCTTCTTTCCCTGTGTGGCCGTCAGTTCACCCCAGAACCCAAAAAGCCAGTTTGGTGTATGAAAGCCAGTTTGGTGTAGTGGTTAAGTGCACGGACTCTAATCTGGGACAACCGGGTTTGATTCCCCACTCCTCCACTTGCACCTGCTGATGTGACCTTGGGTCAGTCACAAGCTCTGGCACAGCTGTCCTTGAAAAAGAGCAGTTTGTGTCAGAGTTCTCTCAGCCCCACCCACCTCACAGGGTGCCTGTTGTGGGGAGGGGAAGGGAAAGGAGTCTGTAAGCCGCTCTGAGACTCCAAGTGAAGGGCGGGGTATAAATCCAATCTCTACTTCTTCTTCTTCTTGTGGGACAGTAGCAGCCGTGTGCTAAGGGTGTGTGTGTGGAAGAGTCAAAACTCCTGTATACTGAATTTTCTGTGTCTTGGAAATGATCCACTACCAGTGTTCCCTCTAATCTGAGTTAGTGTGAGCTAGCTCACAGTTTTTTAGCCTCCGGCTCACACATTTTTGCCTTCGCTCAGGAAGGATGGCTCCAGAGCAAACTAATTTATGCAGCAGCCAGATCGCTCGCTCACAACTTTCATGCCAGTAGCTCATGAAGTAGAATTTTTGCTTCAGGTTTTTAGTCCGAGAGCCAGTGTGGTGTAGCAATTAAGAGTGGTGGTCTCTAATCTGGAGAGCTGGGTTTGAGTCCCTACTTCTCCACATGCAGCCAGCTGGGCAACCTTGGACCAGTCACAGTTCTCTCGGAGCTCTCTCTGCCCCACCTACCTCACAAGGTGTCTGTTGTGGGGAGAGGAACGGAAGGTGAGTGTAAGCCACTCTGAGACCCTCTTGTGTAGTGAAATGCGGGGTATAAAAACCAACTCTCCTTCTGTCAGCATCTGTTTCCTGAGATCTTCTAAGAAGAGCCATCTGGGGTTTTGCATTCAAACTAGGTGCTGCGCCGTTCCTAGAAGATGATAATCTTCCAGGGCACCTCATGCTATGTCTCTTCCCAACCCATGCCAGGAGGCAGACTGGTTTGCTAAAAGCAAACTTGTGTCTTTTCTGAGATGTTTGATGTTGGTCTGCAATTACCTGCTCAGTTACTTTTCCTAGAAAGGAGAAATTAAAGGCTGGGTGATATTGGAAGCATGATTAGTAGGTACAGATTGCTTTTTCAGAAGAGGCTTAGGTATCCACCCAATTAGTACATTACTTTTGTGGAGTGGTTTTCTCTGGAAACGACTCTGCTGTTGTTCGTCACCAGTGGCGCTGTGCTAGCTGTGAACGTTCCAGTTGTGTTGGCGTTTCCTAGACCAGCAGCCCAGTGAAAACCATATGGGCAGCTGCAGTAGGTGAACGGCTTCCCTCTCTACGGGTCTTGCAGTTCTCTGGGTAATGGCTGTAGTTTCTTAGTCTCTGGAAATGTTAGTGCCTTGTGGTTCTGAAAACCAGACAGTTTAGAGAAGCATTTCATACATTTATTTATTTATTTATTTATTAGACTTTTACCCCGCCCTCCCGCCGAGCATCTTTGCTTCTGCAAAGTGTGAAATGTGCTAAGGTGCTACTGGATTCGAATCTAGCTGTTCTACTGCAGACCAGCATGGCCACCCTCTGAGACTTGCAGGCTATAACTAGGGATGGGCATGAACTGCATTTTTGTGGTTTGGCTCAGTTTGTGAAGCATGAACTGAACCACGAACCCATACAGACCAGGATGCTGGTTCACAAACCGACCCAGTTCATATTGGTTTACGAGCCATTTAAAGTTTAAATCCCTGCTTTCTGGTCCCCGCAGCTTTTCACGGGGAGCAGAAAGCAGGGGTTTCCAAACAGCCGAGCAGTGGGGCTGCCCCTCAGCTAGTTGGTTTAAATGGCTCTGAACCAGTTAAACCCTTCTTTCCGCTCCCTGCGAAAAGCCGTGGGGAGCAGAAAGCAAGGGTTTCCAAACAGCTGAGTGGCGAGACAGCTGTTTTTGCTCTTCATGAACCGACACAAACTGTACAAAAATTCATGGAAGTTCATGGCAGTTCTTCATTTTGTGAACATTTTTTTCACCAACCACGAACCGCCCAAAATTTGTGATGAACTTCAGTTCATGCCCACCCCTAACTAACACTTTTGGTGATGGTCTAAAATGTAGTTTGGCAGAATTGGGGGGGGGGGAGTTGTATAGCTGGGTTTTTTCAGTTTGTAGCTCTTGCTTCCCCAAGGG